GAAAGTAAGTTGGGGGAGGCAGGAAAGGCCTACTGTGGGAGAGACAGTTTGAACTAGGAGAGGTTGGTGAGAGGGGGGCTTTAGAAAGATCTTTTGGCATTGTCTAGAGATATTTTTAGTAGTCACAATTCAGAATGTGTGTGTGGTAGGCAGGCAGTGCTCCTAGTATCTAGAGGGTAGAAGTTGGAGATGCTTCTAAACATCCTCCCATACAGAGGGCAGCCCTCACGACAAAGAATTATCTGGTCCAAAATGTCAATGGTGCAAGATTGAAAATCCTAATCTGGAGGGTAGAGAGGATTTACTGGCAATGGGAAGGCATTCCAGCAGGAATAAGGAAGTCGTGATACAAACTGAGGCTGGACAGTATTGAGGGGTGTCCAGAAGTGCCCTTCAGTCTTCATCCCTCAGGCTGCAAGTTCCTCATCTACCTCCCAGATTTCAGAACTGCCTGACAGTTTAGAAGTCTCATCCAGTTTCTTTGCTGCTCTTACTAGAGACGTGGGTAAAGCAGAGCAGATTCTCAGGAGATATGCAAGCCCATGAGTGTCACATCTCATTGGAACCACAATTGGAGGAAACCCCTGAGGTTCAGGGGACAGAAGGGGGAGGGACTTGTCCACCATCATGCAGCGCAGGTTGGTATGCTGGGAATTGACCCCAGAGCTCTATTTTTTTAATCAAAGTTTTTATTGATTGATTGATCTGACTGCATAGCATGGCATATGGGATCTTAGTTCCCTGACTAGGGATCAATCCCATGCCCCCTGCATTGGAAGCACAACATCTCAACCACTGGACCACCAGGGAAGTCCCTAGAGCTGTATTGTTGATGTACAACAAGTTAGCGGAGAAGGGACTGCAGAAATTGATTAATCTAGAAGTGGAAAACATGACACTTTTTAAAAGTCAGAAGGAGAATTGGGACTGAACTTTGGAAGTGCCCAAGAGAATTATGTGATTCTCTAAGGGACAAGTATAATTCTGGGCTCTCAAACCATGCTTTATAGCCATAGGGTTTCAGAAAAGAGAAAATAGACATTGATTAATCAAAATTTTTCTTTCTTGGACTTCCCTGGTGGTACAGTGGATAAGAATCTACCTGCCAATGCAGGGGTTGGGGGTTCAATCCCTGATCTGGGAAGATTCCACATATGGAGAAGCAGCTAAGCCCATGGGCCACAACTACTGAAGCCTATGTGCCCTAAAAGCAGCAAGCCACAATGACTGAACCCGCATGCTGCAACTACTGTAGCCCATGTGTCTAGAGCCTGTGCTCCACAAAAGGAGCAACCACGGTGAGAAGTCCCAAGCTCTGCAACTAGAGAAAGCTGGCAGCAGCAAAGACCCAGCACATCCAAAAGTGTTAAAAAATTCTTTTGTGAAGCCATTTCTATATACCAGGTACTGTTTTTAACGCTAGGGATACAGCACTGGACAAGATAGGCAAAGCAAAACTTCATGGGGAGCGGGTGTGGAGTGGGGAGGAGGAGGATAAATAAAACTGCATATAATGCAATGCCACGCATTCAACTGAGCACCTATTTGGGTTAGCTGTTCTTCATAAATATTCCCAATTTCACAAGGAGCTTTAAGGTAGAAATTCTTTTCTCCATTTAAGATGGAGAAATTGAGTCTCAGAGAAGGTCAGTGGTTTCCTCAGAATAGAGCGACTAATAAGTGGAAGATTCTGGATTTGAAATCAGATGACCAATTTATGATTAAAAACATCTAGTAAATTTACAGAGGACATCCTCAATCTGATAAAGACTGTCTGCAAACAAAACCTTACAGCAATCATCTTATTTAATGACAAAATAGTGAAAGTTTCCTCCTTTGGATCAGTATAAGATACAGATATCCATCATAACAATGTTCTGTTCAGCATTATATCAGACGTCCTAGCCAAGACAACAAGACAAGAAAAAGAAATAAAAGACTTAAGGATTGGAAAAAGGAAGGTCAAAATATTGTTATTCATAGGTGACATGTCATACATAGAAAATCCAGAAGAATCTACAAACTATAAGAATATGTGTACTTCATGAAATCACATAATACAAGTGATATACTTAGATATATCTATACCAGCAGCAGAAAAAAAAATAGAAAATGATATTATAAAAGCAATACAATAGGCAAGTAATAGCTAAAGAAAATGAGGCTTCTTTTTGAAGTGATAAAATATTTTAAAATTGTGATGGTTACACATATTTATGAATATACTAAAAGCCATTGTACATTTTTTAATGGGTGAGTGTAGTATATGAATTGGACTTCCCTAGTAGCACAGTGGTAAAGAATCCGCTTGTCAGTGCTGGAGATGCAGGAGACATGGGTTCAATCCCTGGGTCAGGAAGATCCCCTGCAGGAGGAAATGGTAACCTATTCCAGTATTCTTGCCTGGTAAATCTCATGGGAAGAGGAGCCTGGCAGACCGCAGTCCATGGGGTTGCAAAGAGTCAAACATGACTAAGCACTCATGTCCATCATCAGTATGTGAATTATATCTCAATAAAGCTGTTATTTAAAAAATTAAGGGTATTACCGAGGTTTTACAGAGGCCTCTCATTCCTACACTCAGTCAGTTCAGTTCAGTTCAGTCACTCAGTCGTGTCCGACTCTTTGTGACCACATGAATCGCAGCACGCCAGGCCTCCCTGTCCATCACCAACTCCTGGAGTTTACTCAAACTCATGCCCATCGAGTCGGTGATGCCATCTAGCCATCTCATCCTCTGTTGTCCCCTTCTCCTCCTGCCCCCAATCCCTCCCAGCATCAGGGTCTTTTCAAATGAGTCCGCTCTTTGCATGAGGTGGCCAAAGTATTAGAGTTGCAGCTTCGGCATCAGTCCTTCCAATGAACACCCAGGACTGATCTGCTTTAGGATGGACTGGTTGGATCTCCTTATAGTCTGAGGGACTCTCAAGAGTCTTCTCCAACACCACAGTTCAAAAGAATCAATTCTTCGGTGCTCAACTTTCTTCACAGTCCAACTCACATCCATACATGACCACTGGAAAAACCATAGCCTTGACTAGACGGACCTTTGTTGGCAAAGTAAGGTCTCTGCTTTTTAATATGCTGTCTGGGTTGGTCATAACTTTCCTTCCAAGGAGTAAGCGTCTTTTAATTTCATGGCTGCAATCACCATCTGCAGTGATTTGGGAGCCCAAAAAAATAAAGTCTGCCACTGTTTCCACTGTTTCCCCATCTATTTGCCATGAAGTGATGGGACCAGATGCCATGATCTTAGTTTTCTGAATGTTAAGCTTTAAGCCAACTTTTTCACTCTCCTCTTTCACTTTCATCAACAGGCTTTTTAGTTCTTCTTCACTTTCTGCCATAAGGGTGGTGTCATCTGCATATCCGAGGTTATTGATATTTCACCCAGCAATCTTGATTCCAGCTTGTGCTTCTTCCAGCCCAGCGTTTCTCATGATGTACTCTGCATGTAAGTTAAATAAGCAGGGTGACAATATACAGCCTTGACATACTCCTTTTCCTATTTGGAACCAGTCTGTTGTTTCATGTCCAGTTCTAACTGTTGCTTGCTAACCTGCATACAGGTTTCTGAAGAGGCAGGTCGGGTGGTCTGGTATTCCCATCTCTTTCAGAATTTTCCACAGTTTATTGTGATCCACACAGTCAAAGGCTTTGGCATAGTCAATAAAGCAGAAATAGATGTTTTCCTGGAACTCTCTTCCTTTTTTGATGATCCAGCAGATATTGGCAATTTGATCTCTGTTTCCTCTGCCTTTTCTAAAACCAGCCCATCATTAATACTTAGAAAAACCCCATATAAAAAATAGAATTCTCAACAGCAACAAAAAACATTCAATGCCTAGGAATAAATCTAATGAAAAATGTATAAGACCTCTACACTAAAACTATAAAATATTGTTGAGAGAATTTAAAGACCTAAATAAATGAAGTGATATAACCTGTTCATGAAGATTCATAATTTAATGATATCAGTTCAGTTCAGTTCAGTTCAGTCACTCAGTCGTGTCCGACTCTTTGCAACCCCATGAACCACAGCACGCCAGGCCTCCCTGTCCATCACCAACTCCCAGAGTTCACCCAAACCCATGTCCGTTGAGTTGGTGATGCCATCCAACCATCTCATCCTCTGTCGTCCCCTTCTCTTCCTGCCCCCAATCCCTCCCAGCAACAGGGTCTTTTCAAATGAGTCAGCTCTTTGCATGAGGTGGCCAAAGTATTGGAGTTGCAGCTTCGGCCTCAGTCCTTCCAGTGAACACCCAGGACTGATCTGCTTTAGGATGGACTGGTTGGATCTCCTTATAGTCTGAGGGACTCTCAAGAGTCTTCTCCAACACCACAGTTCAAAAGCATCAATTCTTCGGCACTCAGCTTTCTTTATAGTCCAACTCTCACATCCCATACATGACCACTGGAAAAACCTTAACCTTGACTAGATGGACCTTTGTTGACAAAGTAATGTCTCTGCTTTTTAGTATGCGTCTAGGTTGATCATAACTTTCCTTCCAAGGAGTAAGCATCTTTTAATTTCATGGCTGCAATCAACATCTGCAGTGATTTTAGAGCCCCCAAAAATAAAGTCTGACACTGTTTCCACTGTTTCCCCATCTATTGGCCATGAAATGATATCAGTTCTCACCAAACAGGTCTATAGATTCAATACAATTCCAATCAAAATCCCATCATTATGTTTGTGGAAATTGAACCTTGGTGGACCTGACTCCATGGCCCACTCCAAAACTGGACACAATAGAAAAAAATACAAGGGGCACAGTGTCCCCCATACACAGGGTTACAGGCAGACATAACTGAAAGACCATCAACACAGGGTTACAGGCAGACATAACTGAAAGACCATCAAGACCTCCAGTCATACAATCAGGACCGTAGAAAGCCCAATTTGGAGTAGAATGAGAAAATATATTTTCAGTTAAAACAGATCCTTACTCTGCTTTCAGTAGTTACAAAATAAAGACCATAACTGACTAAATATATTTTTATTTAAAAGAGAATGGTGGAGAGGACCGGGCTTTGTCACCCTCCACAAGTGACATCACAGGGGACAGGGCTTCCAGGCTGAGGAAGTGGCTCCCTCCCGGTGGGATATAGGTGTGCAGGGGCTCCTCTGGCCAGGACTTGGAGAGCGGGTTAAGAAATCCCCGAGGCCACATGCCCACGGGTACCAGCCTGCATAGTGGTGTGGCACTGCAGGAAGCTCTTGACCTGTCCCCAGAGGCCAGCTGGGACTTGGCGCTCACCTTGGGCTTCGGAGCATTCTGGGAGAACTGAGACTTGAATGCAGTCCCTGGAGAAGACAGCTGCTTCCTTCCGGATGACAAGTTGGGGAGCACCCGAGAGGCTGGGTGGGAGACGGGAGGGGGCCGAGGGTGCAGCACGGCCTTGGTCCTCAGGCTGCACCCGCAGAGGCAGGGCTCAGAGACATGGGCCACAGAGGCGCAGGGCCGACCCCCCAGGCTGCACTCTGCCTCCCATCTGGACTCCCTGGGGTGCCGGCCTTTCCTAAAAGGGGGAAATGTCAGATCAGTTGAGAAAAGACTCAGGAGATAGATTTTTTTATTTTTGTAATGCAAGGACAGTGCTTTCCTGCCTCAGTACAATACTCACTCAGCCTCTTTCTGGGGCAGGTTCTCTTCCTGCAGGATCGAGGACTTAAAGACAGATTCTACCACAGGGGATCTCTTCATTTTCTCTGAAAAGAGGAGGAATTGAGAGCTGGCAGGGAGTGGGCTGAGGGCTTGGAATAGCACTGAGTCAGAGGAGCTTTCGATGGGATGTGGGGATGAAGGACCAGGAGAAGCAGTGTGGGGCCTCCAGGCTGGAGGATTAGAATACCCCCAAACCCTCTGTCCCCACACACACCTCTGGGAGGGGGAGCAGTCAGACTCACTATTGTACAGTCTGGAACTGGAAAATAGAGGAAAGATCTAACTGGGGAGAGAGGGGGATTCTCTTTCCCCACCTACTGAAGTGTCTTTCCAAGTCCACAGAAGTCTGCTTGGTACGCATCACTCGGGGCCCCTTTCCCCACTGTGATGTCACAGAAGGGTTCCGGCTGGTAAGAGCTGTGGATCCAGGTTCCCCGGGGAGCCAGGAAGTCCTGCCTCTTCCCCTGGTGGTACAGTAGGAGCATCCTTTCCAGAAACTCTTCAGGCTGTTTCTTCACACACCTTATCATGTGTCCTGCAGGGCACCTGCCAGGAAGGACATGCGGCTCTCCGGGCCTTGCGGTTTAGTTGCGGAGAAGCACACACAGGGCACTGTGTATCACACTGGTGTGTGCCCTGAACCAAGAATGATGGCACCAAGAGGTGATCAGGTCCGTTTCTGCAGGCTGGGGCGTCCTGAAAGCTCCCTGCTGGAGGACGAAGGGTGTAGCCGGCCTTAAGGACGTATGAGATTTGGGTGGAGGAACCAGAAAAGATGACTGGGATGAATGCAAAGCAGGGTCAGGAGCCAAGAGACCAGCTGGCCTTGGGCTGTGGATTCATATTTGTTTTCGGTTCATTTGTTTTTGGCCGTGCCACTCAGCATATGGGATCTTAGTTCCTCAACCAGGGATCAGACCCACACCCCCTGCCGCGGAAGCACAGTCTTTTTATTATTACTATTTTATTTATTTTTGGGTGTGCTGGGTCTTTGTTGCTGCATGGGCTTTTCTCTAGTTGTGGCGAGCAGGGGCTGCTCTCTAGTCACGGTATGAGGGCTCCTCATTGCAGTGGCTTCCCTTGCTGCGGAGCAGATTCCAGGCTGCCCAGTTTTGATTCAGTAGTTGTGGCTCCTGGTCTCTAGAGCACAAGCTCGATAGTTGGGGCGCATGGACTTAGTTGCTCTGAGGCATGTGGGATCTTCCTAGATCAGGGATAGAACCCGTGTCTCCTGCACTGGCAGGTGGATTCTTTACCACTGAGCCACCAGGGAAACCCTGAAGCACAGTCTTAACCACTGGACCAACAGGGAAATCCCTGGATTCACATTTGTGGGAACCAGGTGATAAAAGGTGTGGAAAAGCAGCAGGGAACTCCAGTGGGGAAGCTCTTAGGTAACCAGGTGAGGACTGGGGACTTACTGAGGGTAATGGAACATGCATGCTCAGTCAGGTCCAATTCTTTTGTGACCCCATGGACCATAGCTCACCAGGCTTCTCTGTCCATGGAATTCTCCAGGCAAGAATACTGGAGTGGGTTGCCATTTCCTTCTCCAGGGGATCTTCCCAACCCAAGGATCAAACCCATGTCTCTTACATCTCCTGTACTGGCAGGCAGGTTCTTTACCACTAGCACTACCTGGGAAGCCCAAGAATACTGGACTGTATTGCCATTTCCCTCTCCAGGGGATCTTCCTGACCCAGGGATTGAACCTACATCTCCCGCATTGCAGGTGGATTCTTTATGCTGAGCCACCTGGGCAGCCTCAGGGTAATGGAAAGCCTCTGGGAAATGAGGTGAACTAGAGGCAGGGTGCTCACAGGAAACAGATGGTGCACGCAAGTTCGGAGAATTGAAAGAAAGCTTGTTAAGGATGTATTTGTTTACTAGGGCTTCTGTAATAAATTACCACAAACTGGATGCTAGAACTACAGAATTTTCCTTCTCTCTCTGTTTTAAAAGCCAGAAGTCTGAAATCAAGGTGTTGGCAAGGTTAGCTCCTTCTGGAGACTCAGAGAAAACTGTCACATGCCTCTCTTGCATCTTCTGGTGGCTGCAGACAGTCCCTGGCATTCCTTGGCTTGCAGCTGCATCACTCCACTCTCTGCCTCCATCATCACATGGCCTCCTTCCCTAGGTGTCTTTACATGGCCTTCTTATAAGGAAGGATGCCAGCCTTTGGAGCTAGAATCCACCCCAAATGGGTATGATCTTAACTAATTGCATCTCCAAAGACCCTCTTTCCAAAGGAAGTCACCTTCTGAGATTCTAGGTAGACATGAATCTAGGGGAGTGGGACAAGATTCAACTCAGCACAAAAGGACTATCATTTACAAAGGTATGGACAGATGTAGCAAAACCCCAGGGGATAGTGCAGCATCCAAGGCTATAAAAGGAGAGAACTATAAGCACTTTTTAAAGGCAAGGGGAAGGAATGTCAGACAGAGAAGGCCACCGTGGACTTTCCACCAGGAAAGTCCAGTGGCTAATACTCTGTGCTCCTAACACAGGGAACCCAGGGTCAATCCCTGGTCAGGGAACTAGATCCCACATGCTGCAACTGAGACCTGGCACAGCCAAATGAAAATAAAACAGAAGGCCGCCTGGAGGGGAGCTGTGAGCGCTGGTGGAGCCCAAACCAACCTGTGGGGAGCGCATCAGGGCAGCACCTGCTCGACCTCCCCCAACTCCCTCACACCTCAGTCACCCTTCCCACCCAACAGGAAGCCAGAGGCAAGGGGGCCACTGAGGCAGCCCATACAGATCACCCTCCAAGATGGCCACGGGGTTCTGGAGAGGCAGACAGAAGCTGGCCAAGAGGTCACATAACACCAGCAAGGCGCTGACGGTTGGCAAGACACGTGACAGGAGGCAGACGAAGGCCCCACAAGGGGCAAAGTTCTGGACAGAGACTGCAGGGTGACAGTCCCTCCCCAACCCTCGAGCCTGGTGTTCTTTAGGCCCCAGTCATGTGGGTGACCCCTGGGTACCCATTTACATCAGGGAAGGAAGCCTTGGGATAGAAGGATGGACCCCAAATCCTGGGAGAGGAAGTTTGATGGGGGCACTTAAGGCACCCGAGTCCACACACTGGCCCAGGATCAAACTTGGACCTGGTCACACTAGTTGGCAGACTCCCTTTTGTTTTTTTGGCTGTGCCGGGTCTTTGTTGTGGCACACGGCTTTCTCTAGTTGGGGCACACAGGCTTAGCTGACCTGCAGCATGTGGGATCTTAGTTCCCTGAATTCACATCCCCTGTACTGGAAGGCGGATTCTTAACCACTGGACCACCAAGGAAGCCTCTCAGTGTTTGACACTTGAATTTGCACATTTTCAGATGGGGCCTTCATGCGCATTTACCTTTAGCCTCAACCACGCCTTACTGTGCCATCCAGGGCCCCAGGAGGCATTTAAGTGTTCAGCCTCTACTTGAGGACACAGTGAAGAGGAGAACACAGACTAGCCATTCAGGTTGAGGTCCCCCATCCCTGGGCACCTCCCCTGCCCCAGACAGAGATACCCCGAGGAGGAGGGGATAGGTCCCTGAACATGAGGAAAGGCCAGGCGAGAGGATGGCCCAGGTGAGGGACTGGGGAAAGGGCCTCTTTACATAGAAATGCCTCCCAGGAGGGCCCTGGAGCCATTTGGATACAGGCAAAAGCTAGTTTGTTGGGTTTTTTTCCTCCATCCCTTTCCAGGGTTATAGTTCAATTGCCTCTTGGAAACATGGGAAGAGCTTGGATTTTTGGTTTCTGAAAACCTGGGTTTCTACACTCTCAGTCTGGCAAGGGCTGGGACAAATTTTCCAATACCGCTGAGCCTTGTTTTCCCTTTCTATAAATAACGATGCTCATCTCATAGGGTTGCTGTAATGATGAGGTGAGAAAATTCTCTTTGGTGGCTCTAAAATCAAGGGCAATGGTAATCACTGTCTACTTGCTACCTGCACTTCCTTCTCTCCCATCCTCTAGTTCACATCAATCATTCCGCCCAAACTAGACATGTCAAGGTCTCCAGTGACCTCCTCTTGGCCAGATTCAATGATCAATTCTCAGTCCTCATTGTTATCAATGTATCTGGAGCATCTTGGGTTTCCTATCTTCTTGAAATACTTTCTTCACATTTGCTCTAGAACATCAAGCGCTCCGGGTCATCCTCCTCCCTCCCTGGCTGCACCGTTTCAGTCTCTCTTGCACTATCTTTTTCTCCTTCCTGACCTTGGTGAGAGTCAGTGTCCCGGAGCTCCATCCTTGGAGCCCCCTGCCCACAATCTACACCCACATCCTTGGAGCAGTTACCCCGGGCTGCAGTAACAAATTACCTTGTGGCTTTAAAAACAGAGATGGGGTGGGGAGGGAGGTAAAAGGAGGGGTCCAGAAGGGAGGGGACACATGTATGCCTACAGCCGGTTCATGTTGATGTATAGCAAAAAAAAAACAACCCACAATACTGTAAAGTAATTATCTTCCAATTAAAAAAAATTTTTAAGACATATTTTCTCATAGCTCTGGTAGCAAGAAATCTATCAAGGCACCACGCTCCCTCCAAAGGCTCTAGGCAAGACCCTCTGCTTGTCTCTCCTGGCTTCTGGTGGTTGCCTGCAATCCTTGATTTAAACAGCAAAGCTCCAATTTCTGCCCCCGTCATGGACATCTTCCCTCTTGTGAGTCTGTGTCCAAATTTTCCTCCCCTTAAAAAGACACCAGTCATTGGATTTGGGCCTGTCCTAATCCAGAATGACCTCACCTTAACTTGATTAAATCTTCAAAAGCTTATTTGTAAATAAAATAAGATCACATCCACGGGTCATGGTGGACATAAATGGGGCTTGGCAAGGGGGAGATGCTATTCAA